GCCACCAGCCAGAGTCTGCCTCTCCTGAGAGCTGCATCCTGGCTGCGCTGGGGCCCAGGAGAGTGAGCACGAGGCTGCGCTGAAGCTCAGTCTCCAAACCGATTAGTGTCTGCCTAATGGGCCAAGACAACGAAGTGGCAAAAATACAATAGTGAAGGATCAGAGGGAGCTCGGAGTTGGAAATTGAGATAGTGAGGATGAGATTGTGTAGAAGAAATTTAAGTTTGAGTGAAAGCAGACTGGGGGGGGGGGGTGGGACAGGTGAGGGTGGAGGACAAGAACTGAGTGAACAGCAGAAGAAAAGAGAGTCTGACACTATTCAGAATGAGAGGAAAGAGGGACGGGAGAAAAAGCGTCTCTGGAAACGAGCGGGAGATGCTTCGAAGGATAAAGAGAGAGGAGGGAGAGAAAATGCCTTCCATATGGGCAGCACGGATGGAGAGAAGTGATAGTGAGTAATTGTGTTAGATAGAATGAAAGGTTGAGTTATAGAACTTAAGAAAAACTGGGCTGCAGTGTAAGTTTCTTTTTTTCTGAGTGAGTGTCCAAGGGAATGGACTGACACTGACTGGGAATAGGGATTGCAAAATGAGGCGTTTATCTTACAGCCTCGCTCCATCACACACACAAAGCGCGCAGCCATTAAGACCCGAAGGCTAAGTACTGCTATTACAGTTGGCAAGACAGCCCCTCCTTTTTCATTACACATCCAGGGAAGGATGATAACAGGAAGTGAGAAAGCAGAGAATACAGCATTTATGTTTTTAGTGCGGGCTGAATGGGAGAAGAACTTGGAGGAACGGTACAAGATAATTTCACAACGTGTGCTCTCTGGGCTGATATAGTGGTGCATGAAGACTCAGGCTGAATCAGGAATATACTTTCTGCTCACATGTACATCTACTAGGACTGCTATTTGAAAGAAAAGCAGCACACAGTCCTCCATTCAGTCCAGTGTCATCAGCCAAGACCTAATAAACACAGTTCTGCAGCCCAGCTGTCTCAGTCAGCCGCACTAGTCTGTGAATCAGTGACATTTCTAATGAGAACTGGACTTTATAGAACAGTCATCATGGGGATGGAGAAAAACCACAGCAGTAGCTCAGAAATACAAAGTGGGACTGCAGCTACTGGACCACTGGGATGGCTTCTGTACATGCAGCTGACTAGCGGGATGTGTCTGTGTCCTGTAGTTACTGCTGGCACAGAAAAAGTGAGCACAAAAGTAAGAGTTAAATAAATGAAGGGATGGAAGGAGGAAGCCAGGCGACTCCACTATTAACACGGAACGAAGAAGAAGGTGGAGCATGAGAAGGGGAAATAGATGAATGGAGGCAAAGGCCACTCACATCTATATCAGTGAGTAAGATGAGTGAGGGAGGATTTGGTGGTAAGTAAGAGGATGAGTGCACTGAGTGCTTGGAGAGAGTCAGGGAGCGAGGAAGGAGGCAGAATGACACAGAGTGTGTGCTTACAGAGTATCAGCATCTATCCAACACAGTCAATGGTACATGAAGAAGAGAAGCTGCCTCTTTTCTCAGGAAGTCGCAGGCTAAATGGAAGAGGAATAACAGAAAAGAGGAGGATGGGTGGAGTGCAGCTGTAGTGAAAGGAGCTGATGTGATGTTCAGGTTTGCAAGACATGGGCACCATTTTCCTCAGCTTGTCTAGAAGGTATGGCTTTGTAGTGGTGCTGATAGGTGTAGTTGTTACTGCTCATCCCAGGGCCACTATGCAATATGAGCAGTGACCTAATCTACGAGTGGAGGCGGTTGATTAGTGAAAAGATAGCATCCACTCGTGCACAGGATTTAAATATAAGATCATCCACAGTTAATGTAAAAAGGAGGACAACCAACCCTGATGACCTGAGGGAAGCTGTAATGTAATGTGAATAAGACTTGTGCATGTGCAAACCTATGGACACAGACACACAACAGCTCACACACACGTCGTCATACAGTAAATGCACAGGGGGACCTGAGCTACAAGGGCAGCTTATGTATGAACACTGAACAGATGTTAAAAGCTGAAGTCGATCTCCAGTAAACCGCTGCTGCATCATCGTCGTCACATCCACACACATGCTAAGACAAACATGGGGATGTGTGCACACGCTGGCGGCCCCACACAAACAAATCTGTTCCCTGTCATTTTTGTGTAACCAGCTGCCTTCTCCAGGAACAAAACAGCAGGACGTGATCGATTAATTTTTGCCCAAATAATTCAGGCTTTTCATTGTCTGAGATGTGCTCGTTTGCCTGTGGGCGTTCGACCCCTTTGTAAGAAAAGAGAGAGCAGTTTTGTGTATGTGTGTGTGTGTGCGCGCTGACTCTTCAGAGGAAACAGGCCAATGATAGTGTAGAACCAGAGTTGAACTGGGTCCAGGGATAATTGTTATGCAGGATGTTTGTGCATGTGTGTGTAGTTCACTAGTTGAACCATTTAATCACAGCACAGGGGTGAGTTCAGTGGAGCAATTAATGTCCATACCTCATTTTCCAGAGGAACACGTTCCCCTGTCCTCTGCGTCTCTGCTCGCCCCACAGTTAGGAGACGTAACCTGTGTTTAATTTGCTTTCAAAAAGAACCTGACTTGGTTTGGCGTCATCTCCTGTTGGAAGTCCAGTGTACTCATCGTGTTTTAGTCCAGTGGGCTGAACATACAGTAAATGTGCCTGCATTTATATTCTCAATTAATGTCCTACAATAGCACCTATTGTTGTGGTAATCACTGAGGTCCTGTACTCTATTAATGTAATGTGCTGTTCGGCTTGGCGGCACCACGTCCTCGTTGAAACACAGAAACAATTAGGAGCATTTGTCAACGATAAGAGAATTAGACGTGAGTGTCCCTGTGCCTGATTTGGTTTCTCTGCTCTTTCCCCGTCTCTCTTTCTCTGTTCCCATCTCTTTCACATCTCTCTCCTCTGATTGTTAAGTTCATTCATGGATTTCGTTGTGCCTGGCAAAGCACAGTAAAGCCTTCGTGACAGCTTTCTCATCTGTCCCTTCATCCTGGACATGTGCTTTTGTTGCTGCTACTTGTGTCCAGTTTTCTTCCCTTGTGCTTCTCCCTCTGATGATTTACTCCATTTATGTCTCCAGTGTTCTGTCTTTTCAGTTGTAAAAGCTTAGCAGTGACATTTCTTTGTCTGAAAGTTTTTTTTTCTTCGTGGTTTTTATGCAGCACTTTTTCAAAATGGTGGTTCAAGCAGTAGCTCGTCTGCTGTGCTGATAACGTGTGATGAGTGGCAGCACTACAGGCTTCAGCTAAAGGACCAAACTGGTGATTCATCTGTAGAAACACTGTGATACAGTGGCAACGTTGGCGCCCCATTTTGGTTTATTTTTGGTCTCAACGAAAATGTTACCTTTACTCAAATGTCAGTTTCACTTTCATTAATGATGTTTGGGTTATTTTTGTCCTGCATTTTTAATACTTGTAAACATTTTGCAGCTACAATCGTCTTTGTTGTGTACAGTTACTGTGTTTACAAGATAAGAATAGTTATATGCACATAACCTAA